TTGTGTGAAAGGTTTACGTGCCAGAGCAGGAATAAGCACCGGTGCTGTTGTACGGTATCTTTGCACAGGGGTAACTGCTGGTGAACACTGTGTTTGTATCACTGCGACAGTGCTTGGGTGCACTGGAGTGATTGGAGTTAGAATTGAAGTAATTGGGCTTGAACTGGAGGAAACAGGCAGAGAGAAGGAGCTCTCTGGGAGGATCAGGTGAAGGTTGCTGCCCATGTCGATCACAGCAGTTCCAAAAGGTATGTAGTTCATGTAAGCTGTGGGATAAGAAAGAAAATGCATGCAGATATGAAGCATTCAGGCACAACCACTAAATGGCACACAAAAATATTAAACTCCAAGTTTTACATACAAAAACAGGAAAGAAATGCTACTTGAGTAAAACATGAAGGGCAAATATATTTAATAATTTGATAAAATGTCAACATCAGATCTTTAGTAAAAACAGACTATGGCAACATTTAAATGTAATAAAAGCCACTATCTAATTACATCAATCCAGTTATTATTCTATTTTATTTTTATTCTACTTTATTCTATTTTAGTTCCTAAATGTTATGGCACCCAATACTAGGTGAGAGAGAAATGGTATTTTGATTTTCTGTATGTCCTACACATATGGTAAAATCCTTGAACCTTGATAAATTTCATCCACTATCCACTACCACCAACTGATGCTTACCACCTTGCACAGGAGCGGGCTGCAGGTTTTTCAGGGTTTGAGTCGAAGGAGAAGGTGCAGTCTGGGTCTCTGGCTTCTTTTGACAAGTTGAGGAAACAAAGGCCTGTCCACTTCTAAGTGAAGCAGTCAGAATGGAGGCTTTTTGCTGCACCTGCTGCATCTTAGAAGTGGTGGAGGGCTGAGAACCAAATCCTGAAGATGCTAGCCCTCGCAGGGGAACCAAAACCTGGGGCTGAGGTCTGCTCTTAGCCACTGGCTGCTAAAAAGAGGCATACAATCAAAAATTCAAAATTATAAATTTGCCTGAAATTCTTACTTGTAATTTCAATTTCTTCACAGGAAAATGGCTATTTTGTCATATTTATCTTTAATTCATGTGAACTTTTTTGGAAGTGCTGCTCCTGTATATTTAGATTAGTCATGTCATTTGTTTTGACACATACCTCTGTATGTTTGGCTTCATGAGCCACCCTCTTCTTTCCTGGTAACACTTGGGGTTTGACATTTACCTCCGATTTCTCAACATCTGTAGCTCCATCCTAACAACAATAAGATGAGGAACATGATCATTACAACTGCCAAAGAAATTTCTTCATATTAGATCTGGAGTGTCTGCCACATACTTACAGACACGCCGGAGTGCTCTTCATGTCCTTTTACCTCGTTGTTTGCTTCCATGAAGATCCTGTAACATTCCTCCATTGGGTCACTGTCAGACAGCTCTGCTTCTACTTCTTTACTTCTGAAGGTGAACTCTTCATCCTCATCGGAGCTTGAATCAACGATTACAACTGCATCATCTGCCTTCACCAAAATTTGCTCAGTGGGTTCGGCTCCGTTAGTCAAATCTGAGTAGGCAGATGATGAAATGTGCCAAGCTTGAAACTGGCTGCTGCCTGGTTCTGCTTGCTCCTGGTACATTACAGATGGAGTATGGCTAATGCTAGCTTTACCCTGCATCTGTACTTGGCTTGGTTTCTGGCTGTCGGGCACCAATGATGGTATAATTTGCTTGGGAGAGCAGTGGTTATGAACTCTGCCCTTAGCTGACAGCTCTGTTGTCGGGGCTTGTGCAGTGTGCTGCCTGCATGGTGAATCTGAGTTTGCAGCTGGCTCTTTATTAAAAAGGAAATTCTTCAATGGAAGATCACATGGCTGCAATTGATTCATTTTCTCAACACTATGGGGAAGCTCCCACTGAGGGAATTCAATCTGGAATGGGTTTTTTTCTTCTTCCATCGCCATTTTATTGCAGCTATGATTTTGTTGGTCTGATGTGGCAGAAAGAACTGTAGGCTGAGGATTGTTCTCCACTGCTCTTTCAGCAGCTGACAAACAAGTAATTCTCTGACACTCACTTTCCAGGTCTTCTAAACATCCAGTTAGGTCAATTACTTTCTCATCAGCTGGTATATTTTCACATTTCTTCTTCTTAAAAAGATCAACTACATCTTTACCTAGCTCGTTCTCAGCATCACAATTATGAACTTTATTTGCTTCAAACCTTGATGCAAATTTGTCCTTGAACAGTTCAGCAGTTGAATCAAGTAAACTAGGTGCTGTTTTGACCTTGTTCAGTATCTCTTCCCCATTCTGGGATTTGCCAGAAACACAATCAAGTTTCTGAGTGCGGCCTCTCTTTTTTTCAGGTGAGGGAGGAATGTCAATAACCAGGATGTTGTCTTCATAAGAGTCATCAAGTGGCTCTGGAGATGGTGATCTGGAAAGCGGAGCCTGATATGGGAGCGGCTTCTCTTGGTTACAAGTTACAGTGTTTCTTGGTCTTTTCAAATCTTGCCCTTTAACTTTTTGCTCCTTACCTGATGAGCTGTAAGACCGGAGGTCAGCAGAAAAGTTAGACAGAGGATCATACTCCAAATCAGTCCTTGGTTTTGAGTTGTCAACCACGTACTTCCTTGCTTGGGCGTATGGCTTAGTAAAGTCAGTGCAGGAAGACAGTCCATGAGAACTGCCATCTACATTTTTACCTGCAGTTTCAGGATTGGAAACGGACAAATTAGGCACACTGTTGTTGCCATCAGTCTGTGTAGTCTGATAGCGCGACAGTCGTCTTCGCTCCTGCTCCACCTCGTGCCTTACACTTTCAATCTCCTTGTTAATTCGCTCCAGCTGTTGGAGGCAGTCATCCCTGGATTCATCATTCACTGATACTTTACAACTAGCATATGAACAGCCATTTCTGACTCCTGTTCGAAAGGAATACAAAATAGGACAAATTAGCATTAATGGTAGGATGAAAAATAATACAGGTACCAGGCTAAATATAAAGGACTGACAGCTGTAGGTGTGTGCAGGAACAAACATCTATACATTACCCCAACTTGTTTTTAGATTGTTTCCAAGCTTCTGAATGAATGGGTTTTTTTTTTGTTTTTTTTGTGTGTATGATGTTTGAAGACCAGTTTATTGCAAATTGTTACTTGTAATCTCAAGGGAATGGACACACTAACATGCTTAATAAATATAATTGCAGGGATCAGGACAGAAGGATGGCTAAATTATTCTCTGGGAAATTGTGATTACATAGCTGCATTAACCTCCTGACCCCCATTTGACATCAGATGAATTATTTTTCCCAGGGACCCAGAAACCAACCAGTGCTACAGCCTATAAGTTTAGGCTAGATGATTTAAAGAAAATAAATTGGCATCAACTTATTGATCACTGCTTTATTTCATGTTTTACACCAAAGTCTTAAAAATTCATCAATGCTTCTTAAATGTGAATATTTGATGGTCTTCCAGTTTTCTGTGATAGTAAACATAACGTTAGTGAGAATTATGTTTTGGTCCTTCGGCTGTTACAAACTTAGCATCCCACCCATCTTTTAGCTGATTTTTGTTATCGCTAGCTATTTAAACTAAAAAATGTGTTGTTTTAAGGTTCTAGTTCGGAGCTCTTAAAACAGATGTGAAATGGACTTTCAATTCACTTTACTCTGATGAAGATATACTGTGCCTCTAAGTAACGGGTAAGACAAGACAATTCACACCTGGTGTCGCTTAACGACAGCACGATGTGCCCCACATACTGACCTGTGGACTCAACTATGGATGATTTCTTCGAGGTAACAGCATGTTTGTAGAAACAATGAGGCCGCTCACAACGTCCACGTTTTGATAAAGGGCAGTTTGTGTTAGTAAAGAGACCAGACGATGGAAACATCATGTAAGACACCACGTTTCACGATACTAAAACTGTCCAATTTGAAAAACACCGACGAACGACTCCAACTGAAGCTCAGCTGACGTCACTTATATAGGTTCTGTTCAGGTCACGAGCCCACTGTTGATGGCTGGCTAGTTTAAAAATAACCCTGAATACATTTTAGGGAATTACAGGTAATTGAATGAATAGATATAACATACTTGACCTGGGAGAGTTATTTTATGTTATTTGGCCATGTTGATCACAGTGAGTGTTGTCAGATTTAGACTGTTTGTTTGTTTGTTTGTTTGTTTGTTAAAAATCAACTCAGCTGAAGAACAGTATTGTCCCACATATTTATGCTGCTGAAATTCTTTGGATCTAGCACAGGGGAAACAGGCAAAGGGGCATTTTGTAGCAACTCTGGTTAGGAAAAAGTTATAGGGACTAAAATTGCACCAGTTATTGATATTTGCCTCATACTTAATGTTGCTAAAACAGAACTTTTTGGCAGCAGACATTTAGAGTTGTCCCAATAGAAAAACCACAGGTATAGCTAATACTGAGTTCCATCCACTGAGTTCTATTAAAGGCAGAGTAGCCTAAGGAAATCCACCCAATCTGACAAAAATAGATCTGCTCAACTTGTGAGAGAACCGTTAAAATATTCTTGCAAATAAAAAATGTAAATTAAAATTAGTTATTGTACCTGAATATATGAATATATATATATATATGTACTTGTGGAAAAATAATTTAATCACAGTAAACAGCACGTTTTGTGCCATGAGAATGGTTAATAAATTGTGTCGCAGTAATCCCTCCTCGGCGGCAGATGGCGCTGCAATACAAAACACAAGGTCGGTGCTTGGTAAATTTGTACAGTTTCCGCGCACTACCACCACCATACTAATAGACTGTTAAAGTATTTCATTTGTTGTTTAAAATGGATAACAGCGAGGATGAGCTGGAAGAAAATGAAGCCGTGTGGAAGAACAGTTTCGTGGATTCAGTTCCTCTCAGCCTTGCTGCTGCTCCTGGTAAAGTATGACGCTGAATCGAGACAGTCTGTTAAACCATGATTTAAACACGTTACATAGCTGGTTTGTTGACATACAGAGAGCAACACGACTTTGTCTGTCAGCTGTCTTTGCGTTTCAGATGGTATTTATTGCACGTACAATGTCCTATAAAATGGGAATCTTTACTCTTTATATGTCACAGATATTTCTCCCTCGGATGTGTCTGCGACTAACTTGTAATTTTCGGGATATTTTCAATTAGCTTAGTTGGAAAAAAAATAAAAAGAAATTAACGACATTTATATAATGAATTGCAATCAACCTACTATCTACTCCTATCTTCTTAGAAAGTTAGCTAAATGATTTGGTTGGAATTATTTAGTTTATCAACATGTGTGTGACAAATCTGAATGTTAAGAATAGATAAAAATTGCAGAGAATAAATATAGCTAGCAAAATTAAAGGTAAGATACAACCAAACTAAGGCTGCAACTAATAATAATTTTTATTGCTAGTTATTTTCTCCATAATTGATTAGTTTATAAAATGTCCAGAAATAATGAAAAAAGCCTGTCATGGTTTCTTAGAGCCCAAGGAAACATTATCACATCTACTGCTTTGTCAAACCAACTGTCCATGATCCAAACACATTCAGTTTACAATGATATGTCGTTTGACAAAGAAAAGGAGCTGGAAGAAGAAGCTGGAACCAGCAGATGCTTAAAAATTTTACTTGGGGAAAAAAACTGAAATAATTAAACAGTTGTCAAAGTAGTTGACAGTTAATTTTGTGTACAGCAAGTCCTTTGTGCCTTCTCCCATTTTGTGTTACAATTCTTTTAAAAATGTGTGTATTTTAAGCCATGTTTGTTGCTTATCTAGTTCAGCATACTATGTTGTCAGTTACCCCCTACTGTACTATTTTTTTAATGCCGTGTTCCTAACTAACTCTGTTTCAGGTCCAAGCCTCAGTAAGACATCGCCACCTGCAGACAGAGTCATTCTGCATTTTGACCTGGACTGCTTCTACGCTCAGGTGGAAATGATCAGAAACCCAGCACTGAGAGAGGTCCCTTTAGGTAGCTGGATTAAACTGAATAAATGTTGACTCTCTGTGTTTTTATTAAGAATACTCTTGTGGTTCAGTAATGTTTTTCTTATATGATCAGGCATTCAGCAGAAATACATCATAGTCACCTGTAACTATGTGGCAAGGGAGCAAGGTCTCACCAAGCTGATGTCTGTGACTGATGCTAAAGAGAAATGTCCTCAGCTGGTGCTGGTTAATGGAGAAGACTTGACACACTACAGAGAAATGTCCTATAAAGTGACAGGTAGGCAGAGGTACATCACATCCACAAATAAAGCGTTATTCTGTTTTGTTCTCATAAAAACTGTAGTAGTTACTGAAGTAGTTCAAAAGGTATTTAAGGTCAAATTAGTTGTTGGGCCCTTATCAACTCCCACTGTACATGGTAGTCTTCTAAAAACCAAGCAGTTATGTAGTACTGAAAAGATTACTACATGTAACGTGGCAGTTTGTCTCCCCCTATTGGTGGTGAGTTTAACTGAGTTGCACGCAGCCGTTGTAAACACTAGTCGCAGTAGTCTGTGTGTGTTTGATTATAAGTTGAACTTTTACTGAACTGGGAAGGAAAACATCAAAAGCCAAAGAATGGTAAAGTAATATTACAGGATTCTACTAGCTCAGAAAATCAGACCAAATTTCTGACAGTGGAAATGGAGCTATAACGTGCAGCTGGAACACCAGCATATGAAACAAGAGAATGTCAGGTTTTACTTTTAGAGCCAGAGATTGTTTTTATACTCGGTGGTTTCAACAATTGTCCACTTACAGTAACCTCAAAAACCCAGAATGCAGTGCAAAACAAGACATTTTGCAATTTGAGTAAGGTTACGACTTTACTCATACACTATACTATAGTGTAACCCACAAATTAGGACAGCAAGCTCATCAGTTCATTTTTTGATTAAAAGCAATGTTAATGTTGTTAAAAACAATTTTGGGAAATAAAGTGGATGTTTCCTTTCACTAACCTCATGTATATTTTCTGTTCCTGTGCTCACCTTGCTGTTTCTTGTCTTGTCCATCCAGAGCTGCTGATATCCTACTGTCCACTGGTAGAAAGGCTTGGATTTGACGAAAACTTCATGGACGTCACAGAGATGGTAGAAAGAAGGCTAGCACAGACTCTGGAGTCTAATACTTTTTCATTCAAAGGACACGTCTACAATCAACGCAGTAAGTATCTGTTGTGCCTCTGGTGTGTAGCTGTACACCTTTGTATGTCTGACTCATGAAAACCGGGAAATGAGTTGTGAAACAGCCCAAGTAGAGAAAATATTTGCATTGCACTTTCAGTTTCCTGCAGTTTTGGTTTTCACACCAACAGAAAACACAAATGTCTGTGTTTCTGTTCCTGCTCAGGTGCAGAAGTTAAAGCCAGTGACTACCTGAGGCTGGCTTTGGGTTCACACATTGCAGCAGAGCTGAGAGAAGCCATCTATACCAAACTGGGCCTGACTGGCTGTGCTGGCATCGCCACAAACAAGCTGCTGGCCAAACTGGTGTCAGGCACCTTTAAACCCAATCAGCAAACCACCTTGCTGCCGGAGAACATCAGAGACATCATGGGCCACCTGAGCAGTCTCCGTAAAGTACCAGGTATACCTGCTCAGCTTATGTGTAACTCTGAAAAGTAGTTTTTCATCAGTAGATATTTTGGTGCTACTGTGTTTAAGGTATTATTTAACCTCTAGAGTCCTGAGCTTTGGAAATCCAAGCTGTGCGGTCCTCATATGAGGACGCAGGGACTCTAGAGGTTATGATGGAGCAATAAGGATGCTACTGTACTATATATTGCTGTGAAATGAAATTTCATTCACTTAGATACAGTAATTTTTAACTGTCTTTTTCTCACTGTCACTGTTTGTTCATTTACTTTATCTTTTTATTTGTGTCAAGTATTGCTTGAATATTTTTCACTTTTTCCCCCCATGTCATTTGTGTCAGGTGTCACTGATGATACATTTGTGGTCCCGTCATGTATTCTTAGGGGTGGGTCATCAAACTGCTAAGAGACTTCAAGCCCTGGGGTTGGTCACTGTGAAAGACCTACAGCTCTTCCCACTGACTGACTTGGTGAGAGAGTTTGGAGGTCCCCCTGCTCAGCGCTTGAAGAACCTGGCCCTTGGCGTTGATGACTCACCTGTTACCCCTACAGGGGCTCCTCAGGTAGGCTAGGATATCCCTGAAATTATCAGCATCTACTTAAACTGTCACCTGCCATTGTATGTTTGCAGTCAGGCAAAGGAAGAAATTAATCCCCCTCTTTTGCATCAGTGTTTCTGTTTGGAATCTGTCCCCCAGCCCACCCCCAGTGAAAATGAAAGAATGTACAGTATGTTGCCATAGTACATTTTAAATGTGAAAACAGCTGTACTATGTTTTACCATGATTCTTGACATGTTTCAGTCTCTCAGCGATGAAGACTCCTTCAAAAAAATGTCATCAACTAAAGACGTTTTGGAAAAGATTCATCAGCTCTTGAGCAGCCTGGTGGAGAGGTCAGGGCCAGGTTCACCACCTGTTTAACCCCTCATCACTCAACCTGTCATTGTAGTTTTTAAGGCATGAGTCACGGAATCTAACCCTTCTTATCCATTTGAAAACTAGGATGCACAGAGACGGCAGGCAGCCTCAAACCTTCCGGCTTACCATCCGTAGATTCTCAGCAACCAACAAGTGGTTCAGTCGTGAGAGCCGACAGTGTCCGATTCCCAGCCACATAGGACAGAAGATCGCCGCTGGTAAGCTCGAGACCAAGGAATGACACTCTAATGTCCCACCTGCAAAAGCTGCTGTGCCACATGTAAACGCTTTATCAGGATTTCAACTCTCTGTAGAAGTGCTTGAAAGTGTATTTATATATGAAAAATGAAATAAAGCCATGAATGCAGTAGATTTTTTTTTTCTGTTAAATACAGCATCTAGATAAATTATCTGGATGCACTATCATGAAACAGTTTACTCAACGCCATGTGAATAGGTTCACCATGATTTTTTGGCTTTGCAGAGCACAAAATGAACAAAGCTTCTACAAAGTACAAATTTACTTCTTTGTCTTGATGAGAAACTGCTTGTGCACTGTGTTTTTGCCATGGACAGCAAGACAAAATAATCCAACTACCTGTTGTATTACTAATGGTTCAAATGATTATATGGAATACAAAAGGAGTTGGAATGAGTGTGGAACCCCTGCTTGGTTGATTTTTTATTTTGATTCTTTTTATCATCTCTACTCAGGCTTTTTCTCATCATCTCCATATCCTGCTGTCTAAAGCTGTTATTTTGTGTAATGTCTCTATAGGCAGCAGTGATGATGCTGTGGTCCAGCTGCTCCCGTTGGCCATGAAGCTCTTCCACAAGATGGTGGACAGCAGCATCACCTTCCACCTCACCCTCATTAACGTTTGCTTTAGTAACCTGCAAACCAGGAGAGCTGTCAGCGGCGGAAAGGGCTGCATAACATCTTTCTTCAGAGCGTCTCCCAGAAAAATACAAATCTTGTCATCACAAAGCCAGGTACTACAGTGTAATGCAGTATAATCTGGCTTTTTACACTTTGTTGGACTTCAGCTCCTCAAATACAAGGAATTGCTGATTCACTTCATCTTGTATAAAAGTAAATGGCATTGCTTTGTGCTTTAGACTGTTGGTTAAACAAAGCAAGACACTGGAAAATATTTTTGAGATTTCTTATTCAAAGCAGTTAACTGACTGAAGTAGTAGCGGACACAATAACTATGTATATCCTTTCCAGACTGCTTAAAGTCAGATATCAAAAGTTTTGAAATAACATTAGACAAAATATGTAAGACTTTATCAAATGAATTTAAAACCTTTTAATATCTTCTAAGGTTTATTTTAGAGGTAAAACAAAACATTTTAAGACCTGCAGATATCCTGGAGGAAACTAACAGCATCTGAATTGTAACTTCTTTTTTTTTTTTTTCAAAATATCAGCTTGAAAAAAGATTGAGTTACAGCTTTTAAGTTGTGAAGATTTGCTGCTTGTCTTGTGTCAGTGATTCCCATGGATGAGACGAATCTGTTCGTGAGATGGTTGATGGCAGAGGTTAAAAAATACAGTTCTGCTATACAAATTTTAATTCTTATCTCCAGCCTTTGCTTTTTATTAAAAGTACCTCTTTGGACCTCAAAATTATATTCAGATGTGACAGTATGACACATCAATTGTGATGAGGAGTCCCAGATAGACACTGAAGTAGTTTAAGAAGTAACACTGGACCAGAAAACACAGGATAGTAGACTCAGAATCTTAGGTTCAGGAGTGTCACACACAACAAGTTGTTCATCCTTGTTTGAAAAATCATTGTCAAATGAATTGATAATGAAAATACTTGTTAGTTTCAACCAAAGAAATATTTATTTTTAATTGGTTTATCCATCCGTTTTGGTCACTTATCTGGGTCCAGGCCACATTAATTTAATTAATTATAGCATTAGCAATGATTTTTAGATACTGCTGGGAGGTACTGAAAAAATGTGATATGATAATTAAGAGTAGGCCATATTGTCCCTTCTGGTATTAAATGATGCTTGCAGGTTTCTTACTCTTTTTAGAAATAACGTGTTAGTACTCTGAATTTTCTGATTTAATTTGTGCCCCTCCTCTTTCATGCTCCAATAGGGTGATTCCTCTCACAGTGTGGATGGTCACTGCACAGACCACCAGTTCAGCACACATGGCATGGCTGCTCAACATCTCTCACTAAAGACAGTAACCACAAAAAGCCCTCGTAGCTCAGAGGCAGCACTCCATGGGTTCAAATGGAAACAGAGCACTGTTGTTGCTGAAGAAGAGAATCAAAAAGCATCCTGCTGCACAACGGGGTCAGATCCGGGTGAAACAAATGACACTGTGACACATCAGTTGCCTGCAAATATTGACCCCAAGGTGTTCAAGCTTCTCCCTGAGGAAATCCAGAAAGAGCTGCTTTCTCCTGCCTACGTAAACTGCCTTCTCAGCACTTCAGACTCACAAAATATTAAAGATGTAACAGCAGCTGCAAATGAATTGGAGCCTTCTGACAGAGTGAGTGCTGTAAATCACCAGCAACCTGCAGGCACAAGTGCGTTTCCAGTAGAAAACGTCTTGGAAGAAGAGAAACTGTCATTCCCCCAGAGTTCTGACTGTGAGTTCCCGGGAAATGTGGACCCTAAAGTGTTTTCCGAGCTTCCACTGGATGTTCGAATGGAGTTGATGTCTGAATGGAAGCAGCAGAAGCCAGTCCTAAAGGCCCCTTTTTCCAGGAAACCAGTGAGAAGCTTGATAACCAAAGAGAGAAATGCTTTAGGAAAAGGCAGTCAGACAAACAGTTTGTTGAAGTATTTCAAACGGAGTTAGAATGACAGAGGCAGGACATATTACTGTTCTTAAAGAAAATATTTTATATTTTTGTTGAGTTGTTCTCATGTGATTATATACAGGGATTGAACACAATAAAAACAACATTTAACAGTACCCCACAACACAGCATGTATTGGGCCGCATATTCCTGACCTCCGGCTGTCCAGCCTAAAGTTTGTCCTACAGTACATGTCTAAACCCAACCCAGACACAAACATAATTTCTAAATTTATATCTGAACCCGGCCTGAACCCTCTGGTACCGATAGGTCCCATTGGGCTCAGTTCAAATATCCACACTCTACCCCACAATAGCCCTTTAGCGAGTTGTTAAACCTTTTGGTTTTTGGTGACAACACCAAATCAAAATAAAATTAGACCTGACTGAAGGTTAAGTTAATTAATTGGATATAAAAAAAACAAGGGTCCCCTTACAAGCATTTTCTGTAGCTTTTAACTGCAGGTTAGTAGCCAGAAGCCAGTAATTGAACTTGATTTGTTAAAATACTACTCCAAATTCAATAATTATTTACTCTTTACTATTATCAACCCCTCTGACAAACCCAAAAGCTATTAGGTTTTGGCTAAGCTGTTTTTATTTTTTGTGCACCCCTGTGTCAGTGTGAATATGCAGATAAGTTACCTTTTTAGAAATAAAAAAGTTTACAAAGCTTAATATTAATTTCAGAATATCTACAAACTTCCTGATTTTGTGTGAAATCTCTCTACCTGAGGTTTTCCTGAAGACTTTATCTAAACTATCTAAATATCATTGATATTTTTATAATTAATTTCATATAAGATGAAGACAGAGTATATTCCAAAAACTTAAAGTTTAAATGAAGTCTCTAGCTTTAGCTCCACTGTTTTCGTATTGTTTTCACAGTGTAGAAAACCAGGTTTTTAGTGCTGAGCCTTTATAAATGAGGCTCATTCCATGGTTGGACAGTTTCCATTGAAAAACTAACAGGCAAACATTATTAATCGACAACGGACACAATCCACTTTTCAAAGAGCCTTTATTTCCTCATGAGAAACAACCAAAAGCACAAGGTCTGTAAGCACAGCCCCCTTTGGTTCTCGCTGGCTTAAAACTCCACCCTGGATCACATGCAAAGGAGAAAGGTTTTGAATTTTCAATGTGCATCACATCATGACCGTGATTATTTTATTTAATTAGGACAAACTGGGTGACCTCTGAATGGACTTTGCTGCAGATACATTGGTAAGGAACTTTTTTTGTGAGAGATTTGTTACACTGTGTCATGCTTACTATGAGACATATTACTGTGCTACTATAATTCTGTGGGTATTTTAGGAATTCACAAAAATAGCTTGTCCATGTTTTCCTCATGGAAATGTGTGTTGTCTGCTAAAGACATGGGTTAGAAGGTTGATTTCCCAGACTGTCTTCATTCTGCTGGTTACAACAAACCCACTACCAGTAATCACACACCTTTTAAATGGGGCTCTCAAGCATCTCTTACATAACCAATCAGATTTTCCATTAATATTTATTGGCCTGTCAAGTGTAACTGAAGCACTGAGGCGACCTGAGTAGTGTCATGCACTGCTGAGCCTCTAAGTTGATGAAAGGACTTCTGTCTGCTAAACAGGCCATGTTTATTCGCTCTGCAAACACTGACTGCTCATGTGGAAGCCAGCTCCAGTCATGTGGTAGTTCCTCTCTGATCAGCCTAAGCGGTGGGGAGTTGTGATGTCCTGCTAAGCCTGTGTGATGCTACAGCTTGGGGGGGAAGAATTTCACCTTTTTTTCCCAAGTGTACTCACTGTATAAGCAAGGTTGGATTACCGATCAGGTAAAGCGGGCAACTGTCCAGAGGCCCCAATACTCCAGGTTCACTCCATATCAATTGGTTGTGTATTATACTAAAGCTCTAAATTGGTTTAGTTTATATTGGGCACATTTGTTTTAAAGGTTTGGCTTATCAAGTTGCTTCTTTTTTTCTGTTTCCAGTAATTAAGGCATAGAAAACCTCAGAATTTTCCATCATAGAGGAAGTGTAAGGCTGCAGCCATCAATTATTTTCACTTTATTTGATAATTATTTTCGGTATAATCAACTGGGTTTGTTTATTTTATAAAACCTTAGAACATAGTGGGGGGACACCTTTATTGAGCTTACTCTATTAGAAAACTGGAGCAAGCTGGAGAAACTAGTACCAGTGAATTTTTACCATCTTTGCTTAAAAATGAGTTAAATCAAAAATCTTTTTTTGTAATTGTTGCCAGTGAATTTTCTGAGTTGACAGTTTATGACCATGACATGTCAGGTATAGGCTACTGGTTGGTTTCTGGGGAAATAATGAAACTGACGTGTACAGCGTGGGGTCTGGAGGGGCCCCGAAGGTTATCCCGGTCTAAGACACCTCTTCTAAACTCTCATGGTTTGGTGCATGATGCATCAAACGAGCAGTGCAATTTACTGTAAGTTCAACTGTGTGGCAGGTTAAAGCTGCACGATGGCTGACTGGGACTATGACTATCTGGTCAAGCTGCTGGCACTGGGGGACTCAGGGGTCGGAAAGACCACCTTCCTCTACAGGTACACTGACAACAAATTCAACCGCAAGTTCCCAACCACAGTGGGCATTGACTTCAGGGAAAAGAGAGTGGTGAGTGATTCCTTATATGCACCTAATAAGATCCAGTGGATATATCTCACCTGTTATCTAAAAGGGATATTACTTTTGCAATAGAAGCCATGGGTGCTGTTTGTCTTAACTTCTGCTTTTTGGGTGGACTATCATGCCTTGTGGTTTGGTTCAGATGTACACTGGGACAGGTGCTGGTGGAGCAGCTGAGAGGAACTACAGAGTCCACCTTCAGCTCTGGGACACAGCAGGACAAGAGAGGTTTATTTTTTGGATTTTTCCTTCTTTTTTTTAAAGTGGAACTCACTTTTTGGTGAAAGTGGTGATGAACATCTAAAGGGGTCACAAGCCAAAAAACATTAGGAACCTGTATAATCTGTATTGTACCAATGCTGTAGATTAATATATGGTTTTAATATAAAAAAATGTGTATATCTGCCACATAATGGAAGTGAAGTAAAGAGTTTATTTCCCTCTGAATTATAATGAAGTAGAAGTATAAAGTAGCATAGCACATAAATACACAAGTAAAGTACAAATCTATAAAATTTATCCAAACTGATCACTTGCATGGATAAAAATCTTCACCGGGAACCAAACTAACAAAAGTTGTCCATGTGTTTTCAGATTCA